ACAAGAGCTTCCCACAAGATTTGTAATACACACCCCAGCAGCAAGGGCCAGAACACTTTTTGTACTTTCCCCTCGGGTAGGGTTCCCCTCCCCTAATCTTAGCACAGCTACAGTGTCATGACTCCTGTCACGTTAACAGGGATTTCCCCAGCGGAGTTAGAGGAGCCTGCGGAGTGTCAGGTCTCATCCTGAAGATGCACACACTGAGCTTCACAGGCAGCAGGGCTGGCCTGTTCCCACCACCTACTTCTCCTGCTCCCCCTGCCTCCAAGTGCTGCTCAGCACAGAGGAGCATCTAAGACCTGAATAGGGCAGGAGACCAAACCTCATGGTCTGTGCCCCCAGGCCCCACTCAGCACAGTCTGAATGCTGTCAGCACCTCGTTCTTCCCTGGGTTTGTTGCAGGCCCTGGTGCAGAACATGATACACAGCCAGAATCCCTCATCACTGCTGCCATCACCCATGGGACCTCCTACAGGACCTCTATTTTTAAGGGCAAGTCTGGGAGGATGGGCAGCTGCACGTCTCCATCACGGGGCACGCACTGGTCCCAGCTGGGCTGCAGCCCTCCAGCTCCCATTCCTGCACACCTCAAACCCTACTCCAAAAAAAAAATATATATATAAATAAATAAATAAATAAATAAAATATATATATATATATATATATTTTTTTTTTTTTTTTTCAAGCCTCATCAGTCCCATGGCAGCGGGCAAGAGCAGTGCACTTTCCATACACTCTGAAGCAGTCGCCAGGGGCTCCATCTTCCTGATGAGTAAAGAAAATGCCCAAGTTCTCTCATTCCCCCCCCCATTCCAAAGAGCTGGTCCGGAGGTGGAGAGCAGCAAAAGCACGTTCTGGGATTTCATCTGCAGCCTGTCACTGTCTGCTACCTCCAGCAGCCCAAAAGGCAGGTGACCTTTCCGAATTTTAATAAGCAGAGTTTGACAAGCCCCTCACCATCCTGCTTCCCACCCCACCCTTAATCTCCTGCAAGATCTGGTCAGGAGCACAACGTATTTGAGTTGTGTGATGAGGGCAGACAAGGCCCTCAGAAAGTCTTCGCAAATCCGCTTGTTGTTTCAGATTTGCCTTCAGCAGGCAGTGATCCTAAACGCGCGGCGGTGGGTGGGGGGATTTCTAGCGCTGCCACTGCTGCATTGACAGCACCGGGGCTGATACCGGAAAGGATCAGTGCTCATCGTTATTTGAACAAATTGCTACAAATGCCCCTATTTTAGGGGGAGAGATGAAATCATGCAAATGAGCTTTGTTCCCTGGCTAAACTTTACTTGCAAGCTCAGCTACGGGGAGGTGTCTTTGAAATGGATATGAGGTGAAGTCCCTAAATATTACAGAGGCTGGCTTTGCCTCTTCGCTCCCCCAGTTTCTCAACAACAACAAACAACAAGAGGGCTTTGTTCATTTTAACACAGGAGAGAAGTAAAAAGAAATTATCTCTTTTAGCCTTTGCCTTCAGGACACTGTGCTTGTAAATTCAGTTTGCTCTTTGTAGGCATTAAGGAGTCAAAACATTACTCTTGTTTCATTCTTGTTTCATTCCTATTAATTTGCATTATGTTCAGAGATCAGAGCCTGTCTCGTGAACACAACTCTGCTCTGACTACAAGATACAGTTGCTAGAAAAAAACAGGCATTTCTGACATCATGCAATGCTGCAACTTTTTTTTTTGTTGTTTCCAAGTTCTGCTGGAAATTTCCTGTTTTCCATCCTTAGAACAAACATGGAAATGCACTGCAGGATGAAACATGTAATTAGGATATATCTATCGTTCACAGCTGAACCCATCCTGCCTCCCAGCGCTCACTTTGTCCTTTTTAGAGCAATACCTCCACGGATAACTCCAGCAGACTCCTGATTGCTTTTAAAAACCCTCTGCCCTTTTTTTTAACTCCTCAGTTAGAAAATGGATTTGTTAGACTTCTAAAGTCTAACAAATGCAAAGCCACTCTATTTAAAGCCTGGAGCCATTTTCAAGCTGCAAAGCATGTACTCCCAAGAGCCCTTAAAATTAGGTATCTCTCTCCTATCCGATAGTGCTACTTCTTGCAGTCTAAACAAACAAGAAATAAACTGCCCAGCTCATGCGCTGGCTAGCGCAGGTGACTGATTAACTTGGGAAGAGAATTCAGCCTTGTCCCAGCCAACTAATGCTCTCGGCATGATTTCAGGAGGGACCATTGTCAGACCCTATTAAACCCCATGCCTCAGCTGCTGCAAAATTAATACGCTGTGACTATTTCAGGCACCACTTAGGAGGCCACGCTTTAGGAGTTCAGCTTGTGGTTCATCTTGGGGGAGCAGGAAGAGGAGGGAAAAGAATGACAAATTTAAAATTAAATCAAACAAGAAGAACAAAAATAAAAAGACTCAACAGCCAACCGTTCACAATGGCCTGCTGGGAACCCGGTCCTTTTGCTTCTGATTTACAAGTTACATATGGCGGGTTGTTTACATTCTGTTACTGGTTTATGTTCTTCCAGAAAGGAGAAATTCCTCCAGTAGATTTTGATTGCTTTCCTGTATGCCTCTCCCCCCCAACACCCCCACCCTTGAGTATCTGGTTTCGCTTAATATGCCCAGAGGTTTCCGGAACAAAAGAGGTTGTTGGATTATTTATTTTTTTTTTATGGCTAAACAAAAAGTCGACTATTTTTCCGGGACGGTTCAGGCTGATTCATGTTATGTGACTGTGAATCCATACTTCCAGACTCCTCTCTGTGTTCAGGCTCTTACGGCAGCCACGTCTTCACATGTCACATGAATGAACAGCTCCAGCTGCATGGGCTGCATGCAACACCCAGAGACATCCCACTTCGACCCGTGCCTTTGGTCACGTTCACATTGTGGATTCCCAAAGTCGAAGCAAGACTCCTGGTCTTGTAGTCTTGCCTCAAAACCTGCGTAGACTAGACTAAAGAGGCAAGGGAATATTGTCGTTTATAGTGAGGAAAAAAGTCAGAGTTCTCTTTACATTTCAGAGAATCTAAAGCAGAGTTAACTCTGTCTCAAGAGTTCCTGGATGTCAGTTTGTGTAGATACTACAGCAGGGATGATCAATGAAGTTAGAGTGAAGCCTAGTTGTCCAAGGAAGATTTTTCATATCCCTAGACAGAGTTAAAGCCACACACTACCATCTTTGCACACCTTTCCAAAGAAGGAGAGGAAAAGTGAGGTACTGTTGGGAAAAAAAAAAAAAAAAAAAAAAAAAAGGCAAACTTCAGAAATTTGAATTTTCTATTAATTTACTTCTATTTTTCTATTCATTTGCATTATTTCAGTTATTGTTTCTGGTATTATAAGACAGCTCTGAAAAATGACAAGGATCTCCCCATATTGGCCCAAAGGGGCAAATAAAAATATAAAAACATAATACATCTCAGAGGAACCAAGATGCAGTGGCTATTTTTAAATACACATGCGTAAACATACATAAGAGATTTGGTTTAAATAAGTAATCCTGCTCATGAATATAATGGAATAGACTTTTTGACAACCATCAACATTTGCGACTTACAGGTTCTAGAATAATAAAGAGAAAAAAGCCAAAGTGAGTCTAGCAGAGGCTCTTTTACCCAGTACCCTGACTCCTACACCAGTCAAAAACAAAGGAATTGGGTACTAATAAAGCAGGATTGTTCTTAGAGCAATACTCCCCAGAATACTTTCACAGCATCCTACTACAACAGGGCATACCTGCAGGTGTCTTTAGGTCATGGAGTCCAATCTCTGCTCAGAGCAGGTCTAATTAGATCAAGTTGCTTGAGACTTGTGCAGCTGAGTCTTGGACATCCTCTAAGAATGGAGATATCCCTTAAGAATGGCTCTACCATGAATTTCTCCAGTTGCTCTACAAACACAGGATAATTCAACACCACCCTAATTAAAAGGCATTCCCCAGCCTAACTACCTGCAGCACAAAGAGCTACCTCCTTTCACTTGTTACTGTTAGTTGCAGTCATTTAAAATCCAAAAACAAGCCAATCTTACATCAGGTAGGAAGAGATGAAGGAGATAATACCATTGTGTTTGTTAATGGTGGCTTCACTGCAGTCATCTTGCCTTGAAAGAGCGTGAGAGATGAGCAACAGGAGCTACTGGCCTGCCAGAACCTCCATACAAAGAGAAATAGAAATGAGAAATATCCAAGAAGTATAACGCACCTTCAGAAAATCAGCAGCTTTCCATCTATTGTGAACCAGGAGCAGAAAACACACTTGTATGTCAGAGAGAAATTGTTAAAACGCTTGAAGATTATATGTTAAGAGGATTAAAGTATAGGAGAAAGAGCAACATATAATCTATGTAATTAATTTTCCCAGGTCATCAAAGGACAGAACTAGATTATTTACATACAGGGTCCATACGGTGTGTTATAAACAAAGTCCAACCAGGAATGCTGAATTTCTGGAGTCTCAAGGCATTTGCCTCTGAACTGATTTAAGATACTTAAGATGAGTTTAAGATATTAAAGATGAGTTCAGCTGTCATCCTTGAGGCCCTGAGATTAAGGACTGCCCCAGTGGCTGCTCCAGGACTGCCCCTTCAGGAGCTCCCCTTTCACTCCCCATCTCACCATTACAAGAAGAGAAGTTGATAACAAACACTGAGCTTGGAGAATCTTTTCATAAAGCTTAATGTTTTCTGAGCTTTGACAATCTTTCTGTCCCAATCTGTCCTAAACTGTCTATGGAGTGCCAGCAAAATCACCTGAAGGCAAAATGGTCCCTGAAGGCACCTCACTTTGCTCCAGAAGATTCCCATTCTTCCTGCCCATGCCATTTGTGACACCCATTCTCACCTGGGGCAGCTCCCTGAGCTGTGTGGATGAACCCAACCTGGACAGACACAGAACTGAGATCCTGCAGAGCACTGGAGCACAGGGCAAGGAAAGCAGAGCTAAATCCCAGATACATACAAACACACTGAATGGCTGATGAATGGACAAGAAACCATTGAAATTAAGGAAAAGATGGGCTCATCTGTGAAGAGGGGTGGCCCAGAAAATTTGTACTCGTTTAATAAGAAACAATGTAGATGGAGTTGCATCTACTTCACTTGTCTGGTTTTTATTTACCCTTCCTCCCCTCTTTGGAAAAGCATCACAGAGCAAAACAGCCCAGAAGGGAAACTAGCCTGATAAATAGACCATCAAGAGGAATAATTAGTCTAGATAGGAAAATTAAATGGGGGAGCCACTAATCAGCTGCTCTCTCTGCAAGGAGGAGGCTGGGAAAGTAATTTAAAAAACCTTTTGGAGGAGACTCTGAGGCAGAGCGTAAAGTAAAAATACAGATGGCCAGAAATTAGAGCAAGTCTGTGTGCGCAGGAACAGGTGGAATTGGTTAGAGGCAGAGCTCCCTCCCACCCTGCTTACCCCCTCCAATTCTTCTCATGACTTTACCTTCTGCTTGGCAGCACTGTGAGCTGGGAAGGAAAAAAATATCTCCCTCCGAGCTGGTGAAGTCGTCTCCAGCTGGGAGACTGCACTGCTAGCAGCCCTGCTCGGTTCCCAGGGGCTGCACACAAAGCCCCCAGCACCAGCAGCTTGATCCTAATTCAACTCACTCTGTGCTGGCCTCACAAGTAGAGGGGTAAGTCAGCACCCCGGAGCCCCCACCAGCACCAACTGGAGGGAAGCTTTGCCTGGGCAAAATGATGCTAAATAAAGCCACCAGAACCTCCCTGCTTCTAACCCTCCCAGAACATGAAGCTTTGCTAAGATCAGCCTGAGTCCTTGCACCACCAAAGCCTGAGGGAGCAGAGCACAGCTTCGCTTCTCTCCACATCAGACTCCTTTCTGCTCCAGGACCCCACTGCTCCTTCCATGCCTGCAACAAGAAGCTGCAGGATCTCCTTGAGATCACCCTGATGACCACCGTCGTGGCACCTGGTCGACCTGCAAGGACCACTGCCTTACCTATCAGGGCTACAAGCCAGCAGGTCCGCCACGGTGCTAACAATTCGGAGACTGTGTCACTGTCAGAAACAGTGGAAGTCCTGAAGGGAAATTGGGATAGACAAGGCTTTGGAACACAAATAAAAATTTTCACCCCAAGGAAGTTTGGATCTTCAGCTTCCATTCAGTTTGGGAAACTCTAGCTGACTGAAGCCCAGGGCTAAGCAAACTCATGTCTCCCAGAATGGAATCCATTACTGAGCTGGAATGCCTCTAATTATACTAACACTAATAACGTTAGCTACTAAAATAGCTCAGAAAAGGATAAGTTACAAACGTGGTTTTCAGTCTGTGGGTTTCAAATGCATGGGGATTGCCAGGAGGGGTTGAGAGCAGGGACACAACCTACTTTCTTTCATTTCACTCCCATCTAGTAAGCTCACCCAACGCTTTCAGATTCAGTCACATAACGAACAGGCGTTTTGGTTGCTAAGTAAGCACCCAGAGAAGCTTCACGGACTTCAGGAGAGAGGAGTTGAAAGATTTTTTTCAGATATTAAGGAGAAACTTGTTTACCCTGGACAGAAATTATCAGGTTTCCTTTCCTTTCTGTATGTGAAATCATGTACCTTGTGACTATATGAAAGCTTTAAAAAAAAAAAAAAAATCTATATCTTTTCTTGTTCTTTTAATTCAAGAAAAAAAAAAAAAAAAAAAAAGCCAAGAAACCAGACTTCTGTCTACCTCATATAGCAAAGGGGAAGTTCATACCAGGTTACATCTGTCAGTGCTCAACAACCAGGAATTCGTATGATGCCTCTACCCCTCACTAAGCAATGCATTATGGAAGATGACCTGGCTGAATGCCTCGCCCCAAGGAGAAAATAGGAGCCTGAAGAAAACCAATGCCATATTTTATAGAGGATTTTCTTTGGCTAACATTAAAGTTTTCCATAGAAAATTAAATTCCCACCCAAAATAGAGCTTACTCTCCAGCTAAATCCCCTCTGATTTATGGATTGGGATGATGGTTGGGAGGGTTTTTTTGCTCTTAATATCGGAGGCAGGAACAACGGCCTCTAAATGCAGGTTTCAAAAGGAAGCTCCAGATTTTCTTTTCATCCTGTTTTGGGACTTTTTAAGAATATTTAGTGTTTGTTAAAAAACTTTAGACTTTGGAACTGCCTGTGTTCAGAGTGTCACTGACAGGTTTCAGACCAATTTGAAAGTCAAGCCCCATGGCACCTGGTTATGAATAATTTTTATATGTAACATTTTCATGTTAAGGTGCAGGCATCTAGTAAAGGACAAGTAGGTTACAAAATAAATAAGAAGGAATAGACACATCAAGACAGGGAATTTTAGTTCAAGGGATTATCACATTTTTAGAAAAGACTGCTTCTGAAGAAAATAAATCAGATCATTTCTGTCATGGGATTGATGATTGTTAATGTGAGCATCACAGGAAGTGTTAAAGAAAGATGTGCACACGTGGTAGCTTTTGGTAACATGGCCATGGAGGTCACAGCTAAAAATCCAAGCCCTTATTAGAAGTTAGGGGTAATTACCTTTCTAAAGACATGCCAGTGACCTTCAGATCCTAATATAGTCTAAGGGGATTTGCAGTCCAGCTGTTCATACACACAGAACACCCAAATTGCAGATGATTATTATGACTCAGCTTGCTACCTTTCCTAAATTTATTCCCGCTGGAAATAAGCATCAATTGTTCAAACAGGAGGGGAAGACAGAAAAGAGACATTCCTCCAAAGCCTAAGGCCCAGTTACACACTTGGTCAAAGATTTACCCACTCTTCAGCATTGTGTTTGGGCATTGCAACAGCTGGTATTGTATGAGGTTCTGCTTGCAGGTGCACTAAAGGCAAAGGAGAGGTTTCCTCACCACCATTTGGATCAGACATCATCAAATCTGGACTAAAATCTACTGATGAGAGATGCTGCAGCCATGGATGGGTCAGTCTTTTAGGGACAATAGCAAGGTAGGCTTTGCCTGTGAATGTTCCTATGAGGACTGGAGCAATGTGTTATCTCCTACAGCCTCTGAAATTCCCTAACAGTGCAAGATGCAGAACAACAATAGCTATTGCTTGTTGAAATACGTTGTTCCCTCAATCCACATACTCCCACTGACCAAGTCTTCTCCCAAAAGTACATTTTTTGATTTCCCACATTGTATTTCTTTCCATGAAACCAAAAAGGGAAAACAGGATGGTTTGCTCACCCCTTCCTCAGCCCATTTTACCACTGGAAATAAAAGAAGTTACAAAAGGAGGAAGACAGAGAAATAAAAAAATAAATAAATAAAAAGGAGATGAAAAAGACAGCAAGGGAAAATGAACATTCTTCAAAATTAAAGAGATGATTGTTCAAAGCTCTCCGCGAATCTCCTTTTAATGAAGAGCCAATTCCTTTCTGAAGCCTGTGGAATAATTACTCTGAAGCTTCACAGAATTAGTTTCACCTCAAGCAAGTTAGGGAGCGATGAGCCAAGTTTAAATAAATGGATGTAAATCGAGACCCTCTGGCCCCCTTCCAAGCTGGCCAGACACACGGCAGCTCTGGTCTTGAAGCCTCATACCTCGTGCATCTAAACTCACGGCGGATCGTGACTCTGTCTGTGTTCCTCATGTCCTTGCTCACAATGCCTCATGCCTGTTCTTTGCAAAGCTGTACCACTGCAGCAGCAAGGTGCTTACGGCAACAGGTGAAGGTGCTATAAATGCATCTCTAACAGGTTTCAAACCACTCGTTTGACCTCGAAACAAACAAACAAAATTACTTCTCACCTTCCTTGGAGTTCCCTTTCTACGTGATCCACATAAAAGGAAAAAAGCTCCAGGCTTGCCTGGCCTGGAATCAGAAGGCACTTGCATGCGGAGGAGGAGGAGGAGGGAAGGCAGCTCCAGTCCCCTCCCTCCCCAGTCCCACTTGAAACGTTTTCTTTCTTCAGCCCTGAACCCCTGCCAGGATGACTCCGGATCCTGCGGATGGGAGAGCATGCGTGGTGAGTCAGTTCTCTGAACCTTCCTGAGGCTGGATTTGGTGCCAGCAAAATGCCTCCACTGCAGCGTGAGCTTTGAGCAACCTGGTGCAAGGCAGGATACACGAGGGAGAAGGGGCAGGCAGTGGGTATACCTAAGAACCAGCTTCCCCTCACATCAGCTACAAGCCCAGCTGAGCTGGGGTTTGCAAGCCAAATCCAGCAGGAGCAACTGCATTTCTGTCAGCCCCACAGCCCACAGCTTTGGGACCTGTATTGTGTTTTTGAGGTGACCCAAGGAAGGTGTTGTTTAAGGGGACAGAATGATCACAGGGTGAAGGTTGTTTGCTCTGGGACGGGGCTGGCAGTCCTCAGAACCAGCTTGGCTCAATGCGTTTGGAGAAGGCAGTTTCACAAAGAAGGGTCCAGAGCCAAGCACAGAACTGTTCAGAGAACATTCTGATCCAGTCTCTCACTTCTTCCCAACGTGACCATGAGAAATTTTCCGCAGTAAATGTACAAATGTCACGACATGGAAGTTGAAGTTGTCAAAAATTAAAAACAAGGTATTAGTAAAAAAATTACAATCAAGAAAAATGGGCACACTCTGAGTTTTAAGAATGATTCCAAGCTGGAGAAGCCCAGCATGGCTTAAACTTGTGACTACATCCAAAAAAAAAAAAAATAAAGTGTGGCCCAGACATATGTAACAAACCCAGAAGTCATCTGGAGGTCAAAAAAAGAGGAGATGGATTAAGACCAAATGATCAGGAAAAAAAAGGAAATAAAGGTTTATAATCTGTCTAACCTGCCTAGAAAGCACAGGTCTTTCCTACATCAACATTCCTTAGCAGTTAGTAAGAGATAATAACATGATTATTATGGGGTTTCTAGAGACGGCTCAGGCAAAAGTAAAGGAAATTTATGCTGCCACAGAAGAAAACCACAATAGAGGGCTCTGCATTTGAAGGTTGTCTGCTCTGGACATTTCAGCTATTCATTGAGCAAATATTAGTTGCTGAAGTATTCAGGCTGGCAAGGGATTGGGTTCAAATGTGACCCAGGCGAATGATTAAACCAAGCATTTCTGCAGCTTTCCTGGGATAGACTGTGTCTGCGCAGGCGGAGGTGGTGGGCAGACACCCCTCAGTTGGGTTTGACCCATGGACAACACCAGGCTGCGGGCTCTGTGAGCACTGACGCGGCACAGGAGCTTTTTGGATGAATAATTTATTCACTGAAAAAGCTTGGGTTTGGGGCCTACCAAAACTATTTGCAAACTCAGTGAATAGTTTCCACCAAAAGCCTGAAAACATTTCAGAAAGGCAGTGTTTTGTTTAGACTTTTCTTTTTTTTTTTCTTTCTTTCTTTTTTTCTTCTTTTCAGAAATGCCTCTGCTTGAAACTCCAGTTTGAGGCCAGATTATTTGACTTTAAGCAGATTAAACTTGAACGGAGATGCTTTCATTTCACACTGCACATGATCAGTGCTCTGCTCGGTGGGCCAGCTCAGTGATTTGCACAACTCTAGTGGGAACAGCTGGAACGAGCCTGCTGGCTCGGTACTCACAGGGAAAGACTGGATCCCATGCCAGTAGACCCAGTTCAGGAAAAGACACAGTGTGACCTGGAGCAAGCAAGGGAAAGAACATCTGAATGAAGGAAATGCCTGATATGGGCTACCCAGAAACCACACTGGGAAGCCTGGGGCCAAGCAGAAAAGCCTGGAGTCTGCAGAGCTGGAAAGGAGCATGAAGGAGCCCAAGTTGGCACCTCCACAGGGCTTTGGGAAGCAGATAACCTGAGAAATAAAACCCACTGACAGCAGGGAGATCAGCCGAGCTGATTCTCAAGGAACTGACACAGCAGGAATCAGCTCATGACAGCTCTAGAGGCTCCACGAAGACCTTCAGCTTATACTTGAGGGCAATAGCTAGCAAGAGGATGATGAACTCCCAAGGGGATGGTCCACCTGCTGACACACAGAGACGAGAAATCAGCTCCTCTGGCACATGTAGGCTTGCTGGTGGTGGGTGAAGGGACAGGGAGCAGGTACTTCCATGCAACCTTCAGCTCCCAGATAGGTGCAGAGTCTTCCCAGAGTTGTTACTATATAGTAAATTTATCCTTCAACCTTGCCTTCTCCATCAGCTACAGGGAGCTTACCTCACCAACTTCTGTAACTAAATTAAAGGCTTCAGTGGAGGCAGAGGCAAAACCCCACAGTCGTTTCTCTCTGTTAGTCTCCAGCAACAAAGAAAGTATAAAACAGTAGGATAGACACATAGGATACCAAGACCACATCCCAAAACAGACTCCAGTCATCTGCACCGCAGGGACTTCCCAAGGCAGAGGTGACATCCTTACACTGAGCAGCACTTGGTGGAGTTTCACTGCTTGTCACCATATGGCTCCGTGCTGGAGGGAAGTGGGAGAAAAAAATGAACTGGCCACAAGC